GTTCACAGCTTGAATAATAGGAATATTCTGGAGGTCTCTGTTTGAACAGGAGAACCCATTGGGTGGAATTTAATGACGTGTGCGTATGTATCGGCACAAATCCTATGTCTAAACATATATGCGAACACACAAGCATACWGTCCCTTCTATTTTTCTGTCATCTATTAACCCCGAGTTCATACACAGCCTTCCCTTTATCACCTGAAATGCACCAATACTCCTTTAATAACCAAAAGCCTCGATAAACAAAGCTCCTTTTTTATTACAACGGTGGCTTTTGTTGCCTATTTCATTGACTATACTAAGCTCCTTTGGATGCAAATAGTTTTTCATTTCTCTCCTCAATCAACCTTTCTGATTCTAACTAATGCAAAAAAAAAAAAAAAAGAGGAAAAAAAAAAAGGAGAGAGAAAAGAAACACCCACACTGATTCACACATTAATTCAGGGACAATCTTGCAAATGTTCACATGAGTAATCCTTCCTCAGATGAATAATCYCTCTGACCACAGCAGACTGATTAACAACAATGCAGATTAAGTTTTTCAGGATTGGGCCTATCCCCCGATGCTTGGGTTCTCACCCAAGGTTCAGCAGATGATTTTTCCCATTTCGTTAGAGGTATCAGAGGGCCCCTCTGAAATATTTAATCTGACTACCCAGCTAATAGGACCTGATTCTACCAGCACTCCCTAGAAAACCTAACGAACTGAAGTAAAAAATCCCATTTGGGTTGGAAGTCTTTGCAGGATTGGGCCCTTTGATAGCAGTTGAGGGGCAGACCTTTGACTTGTGACCAGGATGTTTATTTTTTCTGTGAGTGGTCTGATATTCTATTTGAACACCCTCAAAATAAGCTGGTAGAGACAGCTTAGAGACAGCCAATTTAGCTGCTGAGGTCTAAAGATGGATGATTTTTTTAATGCATGTTTTGTCTATTTATTTGAAATAAAACTTTTCCCCAGTGCATCTGATGTCATTCAGTAGGCGATGGCTCTGTGTGCTGAGTGTGGGTCCAGGGTTTTGAAGTTCAGCAGAAGAATCCCCCCTCCGGCTGCCTCTCAGCCTATTCCTGCCTTTCTTCTTTGCTTGCCGGTTTCCTAGAGAAGGAAGATACTCGGGACTGATGTATCCCCCGCTTCCCCTCACCAAACAGCGTTCATTAAAAACTTGCTGCCAGCAAGGGCCTGATCCAGCCCTCCTGGAAATTAGAAAGCTGTCTCCTGACGTCACGGGGACGAGAAGCATACTAATGCATGCAAGTACCTCCACTAATGCGGGCAGTCCTGTTAACAACACCGGAGTTGTTCACGGGATTAACAGCAATCAATCAAGCCCTTTGAAAGGCACATTAAAAGCCAAAGCTGCATCCTGCAAACCCTTTCTCCAGCGAGTTGTGCATATACCTGTGGCTGGTCCCATCGCATCCGTCTCTTCGTGTGTACGGCCCAGCAGGGCCCGTGTGTTTCTCCAGCTGGGCTGAGTCAGTGCCTCACTGCTTCTGAGGCACTGGGAATCACTGAAAGTCTATCCCAAAACAAGCAGTGTAGGTGCTTCCAAGAAAGACATGGCTTGACTGAGGAGAAGGAGCAAAACGGGACCACAAAGAGGCTTGGAGGGGATTGTTCTTTTTTTTTTTCCTGCAACCAGACATACAGAAAGACATTTTTAATAATAATTTTGGAATATTTCTTTTAACTCCTTTATTTCTTTTGAGAGCAGATAAACAGTTTTCACTCTTTAGGAGAAACTGGAGCCTGTTACTAAGGATCTTATTCCCGTGGACTGCCCTGGTTATGGATTGCTGGCCTGGACCCATTGTGATTACACTGGGAACGTTTCTCACTAAGGCACAGTTTGACAAAGGCTGGTTTATCTAAAACTATATCTGTTTAAAATCCAGTTCAGCCCCTTATATATGAAAAAAAAAAAAGAAAAAAAAAAGAAAAAATATATATATACAAAAGGGTGTTTACGGGGTTTAGCTTGTTTCCAGCCACGGGAGCAGCTGTGTTCATCTCATAGCCCTTGTAGCAATATTTGTGTCCATATTATTTCATCCAGCCACCCCTCACAGCTGTGCCTGTGCACCAGGGGGCTGTACTGGAACGGCATCCATTTCCCGCCGCCTGCACTCCCTGCGCCAGCAAACCGGGGCGCGGACCAGCCCCAAGTTTTTTAAAATATGTATCTAGGYATCCAAAAGCCGCCCTCGCTGAGCAACAAAATGGCTTGTTTCACTGCCCCGCTCTTTTAATTGTTTTTCATGTGGGATAAGCTGTGATTGCGGCCAGAGCGGCCTGCTCGGGGACAAGGTGTTAGGAGAGGTGGAGGCGGTTTCACTTTCGGCTACCGCGGATAGTCCTTTTAAAAAGTACTGAGCAAACCTGCGGGCTCCGTCGCAGGGGTGTTTTTAGTGTCTGGAAGGAGCGGATATTAAGATTTTCCCTGTCCCGGTTGCGTGGGGGGTGCCAGAAGATTTTTGTTCCACTAAAGCTTTTGTTGCTGTTGACGATTTGTTTTTTCAACCACAGTCCACGGCAGGATTTGCAAGCGCAGGGCCGAGAACGGAGCCACCTTCCCGCAGCTCCCGGGCTCTCAGAGCTGCCCTCCCTCCCCTCTCGTATCTTTTAAGCGTCGGTACCAAATGCCCAGAGAGGGAGGACAGGGAGCGCGCGGGCGGGCGCGAACAACGCGCTGCGGCCGCTGCCTCCCCCTCAGCGGCCCAAGAGCCTCAAAGCGCAGTGAAAAGCGGCGGGCGGCTCCGGGGCTGCCGTGGGCGGCACCCCGGGGGGGGGGGGTCCGGTGCCCCCCCACCCCTTCGTTCCTTTCCCCCCCCCATCTCCCCACCTCGGGGCCGCCCCCTCGGGGCTGCCCCTGCCCCGCCGCCGCCTGCGGGAAGCGGCTCCGCGGCCGCCGCCACCGCCGCCTTTATCCGCCGAAGGGAGGAGGAGGAGGAGGAGGAAGGCAGGAAGGCAGCCGCGCGCCCGCCCGCATCCCCGCACTCCGGATCCGGCCCCTCGCGGGGGACCCTCGCTGGTCGGGGCACCGCAACCGCGGGAGTACCAGTGATATCTGCGCCGCCTGCGTTGGGTTGGGAGGCTTTTTGGGTATTTTTTCCTTTTCCTTTTTTTTTTTTTTTTTTTTTTTTTTTTTAATTTTTTTTTGGTTGGGGAAGGGAAAGGGAGGGGAAAAAGCAGAACGCCGCTCTGTTGTTAAAACGAAACCCCAGTCCATTTGAGAAGGGGCCCTCGCTACATACAAAGGTTGCTTTATTTTATTTGTATTAATTTTTAATTAAAAAAAATTAAAAATAAAAGCATGCTGGTCCATAAAGCGTGCGGGAGCGTCGCAAATGTAAACTAAGAGGCACCCTCCTGCCGCGGCTGCCCTGCCCGTCGCACGAGTTAACGTCGCCCTCCCGGGGGGACGGGCGGCCGCGGGGGGGGGAGTCCCGCTCCCAGCGCCCCCCCCCCGGGCCCCGCCGCCGCCTCCGTAGCGGGAGCAGCCGGGAACAATAGCCCGGAGCCCGCTTTGTGCCGAGGGTTTTGCGGGGGGGGTTGTGTGGAGCGGGGGGGGCAGTTCAGGCCAGGTAACTCGGCGGCTGCTCGGAGCTCTCGCCTGCTGCTGCTTCCCCGAGCTCCATCCCGCACAGATTGCACGGGAAGCGGGGCGGGGAGCTGCCGGCGGGGGGGTGAGGGGGGTGCTCCGAGCACACGCAGCGCCTTGTTTTGTTACCGTCCGGATTACTGTTATTATTATTTGGGGGACAAGGGGGAGTCGTGTCCTTAATCCGAGCCTGCCGGCCCTCCCCAGCCCAGATGCTGCTTTCCTCCCCAGCGCCCCGCGCACTTTGTGTGCAGAGCTTTGTTCGGACAAGCGGCTCCCGATCCCTCATGGCTACAAAATACGATTTATGTTTCCATCAGAGAGAGGCAGAATATCCTGATGGCTTGAGAGTCGGGCAAGGAAATCTTATCTAATCAATCCCTTTCCAATACACACATACACACACRCATAGCGAGCATAGGAGATAAAGCCCGCGCTGCTTGTATGTAAAATAAATATCGGCAGCCTAAAAATTAACAATAGCCCTCTCGATATTCTTTCCCTCTCCCTCCAAAGACCTACAATAATATAATTTGCGCCTTTCCTAGCTTGATGTCATCATCATCAGCGTAATTAAAGGAAAAAAAAAAAGCGTAAAGAGCATGCATTTATTTTTCTTAGATGCAACAAGAAAAGAGTAAAGAGAGCTTGTAACATCACCACCACCACCATCACAGCAAAAGCAACCTCTGAGCCCGAGGATTCGTCCGTATCTGAACTGCTTTTATTATCATTTGCGAAACCATATTAAGAGTAAATAATAAATAAGAGGCACCATCATAATAGGAAAAAGTCAGAACACCTTGCTTATTTTTTTTCCCCCGCTCAAATAAAAGGCAGTTTTCCCGATGATCACTGAAATTATAACGACAGCGATTGATCGGAGGGCTTGCAAAGGAAAACGAAAAAAAAAAAAAAAATCATCATCATTGGTCCTAAAAACGCAACCGTTCCCCTTTGCTCACTTGGCACAATAGGAATTGACTGTCTCTCAAAGAGCCATGCGCCTAGTGCTATTTATAGCCAGGGGCTGTGTTGGAAGATACCATTAAGCTTCTGGCAGGCAGGCAGACGGGGGGGTGCTGGGCTGGGAGGAGGGGGTTTAGGCAGAGTAGAGGCAAAAGCAAATCCCCCACCCCCAGCCTCCCTTCCCCGCACACACACAGAGCCCCGCACTCACACCCCACCCCCTAGTCTGGCTGGGAATTTGAACCGATCCAGCCTGTTTAAACGGAAAGGACACAGATCTTCAATGTAAAAAAAAAATCAGATCAGACCCAGAGCGAGAGAGAGACGGAGAGGGAGGAGTGTGTGTGTGTGTGTGTGTGAGTGTGTGTGTGTGAAAGAGGGAGAGGGAGAGAGAGAGAGAGAGAGGGAGGGAGAGAGAAAAGAAGAGGGGGGAAAAAAAGGAAAGAAGATTTTCTCTATGTATATAAAGATGGCCACGTTAGCAAACGGACAACCAGACAATACCAGCCTGAGTAGCAATCACAGCAACCCCAGCACCAACGGGCATATGAACGGATTAAACCATAGTCCCGGAAACCCATCCACCATCCCAATGAAGGACCACGATGCCATTAAGCTCTTTATTGGGCAGATCCCCCGTAACCTGGACGAGAAAGACCTCAAACCGCTCTTCGAGGAGTTCGGGAAGATCTATGAACTGACGGTGCTGAAGGACAGGTTCACTGGCATGCACAAAGGTGAGTTACCTCCTGAACTTTCCCGGGAGAGATCGGGAGAGGAAGGGAGCCTCTCGCTCCCTCTCTGCCTCTCTCTTCCCCTCTTTTCTTTCGATTTCATTTTATTTCATTTTCGGCTGCCCGGGGGCGGAGGCGGCTGGCTGGGGCGGAGGGAAAGAAATAATAGACCCTCCTGGAAGGAAAAGAGAGAGAGGCAAAGAAGGGGGTCAGCTCTCTTTTATTTCTTTATTACTATTTTTATTTCTTTTCCCCCTCCGCCTTTTCTTCCCCCTTCGCCACTTGGCAAACCCGGAGAGTCCAGGCGCCCGAGCGGGAGGCAAGGCTGGCAGGCAGCTGTCCACAGCCTGTGGTGCTGAAAAAGATTAAGCCGATTTCTTTATTTATCTTTGGGAGCCGCACATTTTCCAGCGAGGGGGGTGTGTGTGTGTGGATGTGCGCGGAGCTGGGGAGCCCCTATTTTACAACTGTTGTGTGTTCGGCACCGATGCCTTTTTTTTTTTTTCCCCTCTTCCTCCCTCTTCTTTTTAATTTTTATTTTTCACGCCGTCAGGAGGGTTCTATAGTTTCAGTCCACTCCAAAGAGCCGCACATTTTCCAGCGAGGGGGGTGTGTGT